TTATAAATGAAATTGCTTAATAAAACTTTGTTAGAAATTGCTAAAATGGGTTTTGCCTTTCCAATGTGTGTCAGTATATGTTGAGAAATAAGTTTACTATAAAATCTATTGTACGTCACATCGGTAATAGGCACTCGTGAAGAGCAACCTCCTCGTTGTATGTGCTGGGTAACGCTAATAGCTCTTCCCCTACGTGGACCTGGAGCACAATAGGTCCTCAGCACCCCGTTGCTGATCGTAAAAGGCGACCGAATTGGGCAACCTGTTTGCCGTGGGTTGCACCCTTGTGTCGGTGGAGCACGGGATTCTAGTGGTTGAGAACATAGTATCCCAGGAACAGTGCACACCACCTCGACTCTTACTTTACTGGGTCTGGTTCCATCAATCGCTTGGTCACGCCATGACCTGAGCATGGAAATGTTCAGCTGGATGTTGACACTGAGTATTGTGCAGCTTCTATTGTCAGTATAAATTTTGCCTAGAGTCCTATGCCAGAAGGTGGTGGCTCATGCGCCAATCTAGTGATATCGGCCCCTGAATTCTATGTTCCTTGAGAAATGTGTCATGGGCCGAACAGCTCAACACTCGCTCTTTTCGATATGATAGCTATTTACGTCTATGTTTACTGGAGTATGGCATCTCTATAAACCTTGTGTTATAGGCTGGCTTTCACTGTCATGTCGTCCTTGCTGACACTCGATAGCGGGTGGGGAGCAGAAATGTTGAATATATTTATCCCATCACGTCTCTCCACAATAAATATGGTTCTTCAAAAGCCAACAAACGCCGACAAGAAAACTCCGATTCTTGGCCTAGGTTTCTCGTTATTGCTTCTCTTCTTCCACTGAAACTCAACCCTTTCGTTATCTCCAAGGGAATCAAAGGGCATTATGGTGCATCACCTGCCTCCGTACTAGTTCACTGTTAGTTGAATGTGCATGGAAGCAACAATCTGTCAATTTTGTTTACAAGCAGCTTGTTAATACTCAAGCAGGTATTACAGCTTAAGCGGAGTGTCTTTCCTACATGGGCAAAGCGGAAATTGTAGCTGAACTAAGAAATCAATGACAAGGGATTACATCTAGAGGCCAATCTGTATCGAAACGTCGCATCTCCTGAATAAAGAAGTTCATCCATAAAGTAACTTATATAACTGACTCTCCAACTCCTAATGCCACTCAAAGAAGTAGTCACAATATGACCGATGTGACGAAATGTTAAACCTACCTACTCACTCACTCACTCACATATTAGCAACATTTCAGCCATATAGTGATGAGAACAATTTTATAAATATACTACCGACAAAAGTATTGGAACACCCAAATCGCAAAGTATAACAAAGTAAATTTAAAGTCGCAGCGTCGGTTTATTACAAGGGTAAATAAAACAATTTTTGATCTAAAAATGTAATGGTTTTATGGGCAGATATCACTGACTGCAATTCCAGTGCAAGCAGCGGACGAGGATAGGGGTCAAAACTGAAAGTCACATAATCAATAGTGACTGTGTCCTCCACGTTGATTGATCCATTCTGTACATCTGCGCCTCATGGGCCTTATAAGGGTGCGGAGGGTAGCTCGTGGAATTAACTGCCATTCCATCTGGAGCCACTTTGAAAACACATCCAAGCTGAATGATGACGGCACTCCTCAAGTCAAAACCCACTAAAAACTCATAGATTAAGTAATTGTTGTGTTATTATTATTATGTTTTACAGATTAAAGATGAAATTTCAGCAGAGAGGGTTCGGGTGATCCTGGCACAGTCAGGCTGGTAAGGCTCATCATCAGCTCAGGGCCCTCGCACCCTGTACACGCCGAATGGGACCTCTCCCAGGAAACGCTGCCTCATTGAACCCACCAAGAACTTTCCGGAGAATATGAAGGCTCCCCAACACTGCAGCTTTCTGCATTACCCAGAGTGTCAGAAGGGGCTGTACTCCCGGTGGAGAACCCGGGCACTCTCCTGATCTGCGCCAAGAGATCAGGAGTTACCAAACCAAGGGCACCGAGAACAATGGGGAGCCTGACGACAGTGTACTTGGGATGCAAGGGAGACATTTCAAAGGCGAGGTCCGCATACTTAGCATGCTTTCCTGAATCTTGTCAATCACATTGCTGTCAAAAAGGGACAGAAAATTCAATGATATAAATAAATTCATTGGCTTTATCAAAAAGGACAAGATCAGGTTTGTTGGCAGGAATTCTTCTGAGGCTGTTCCACAGAAGTTTGAAAGCATCATTTTCCATGACGCCCTGGACATATTCAGGGTCGTACCATGGATGGACTTCGAAGTCAAAGCCACAGGCATGGCGAAGACGGTAGTAAAAGCAACGAGCCATGCCATCATGTCTCTTAAGATATGCTGTTTGTGCCAAAGACTGACTGACTGAGTTTTGGTTTTACGCCGCTTTTAGCAATATTCCAGCAACATCACGGCGGGGGACACCAGAAATGGGCTTCACACATTGTACCCATGTTGGGATTCGAACCCGGGTCCTCGGCGTGACGAGCCAACGCTTTCACCACTAGGCTACCCCAACCGCCCCCTTGTGCCAAAGAAGGACATCCACTAACAAGCCGTTGGACAGTCTCTGTAAATTCATTACACAGACGACATTTCATATTGATATTTTTTTTTAAGAATCAAATTTTGGCGATTGCGAGTGGGAAGTGACTGGTCCTGAGCAGCAAAAAGGAAGCCCTCAGTTTCAAATTTGAGACCAGCCGGCAGACTTGGTGAAGGACTTCACCTGGTTTAGTCCCATCACTCTACCGTCCAGCAGTACATTGCCATCAGCAAAATCAACCTCAAATTTCAGATTCTGTCTTGGCACGCTTAAAATAGCTGTGGGATTCCTTGCTTTCATCATGAGTCTTCACATGCATCACCAGAGGATCATCCGATAAATAAATATGTGCAAAAGTACACAAAAGAATTCTATCATGAAGAGCCTCCACATTAATCAAACCCCGACCTCCAGAATTGATTGGCATATAAACGGTTGAGAGGGGAACGAGGGTGGTGGGCTCTGTTATCAGACATGATCCTTCTGGTCAGGCGGTCAATACTCTGAATGTCTTGTTTTGTCCAATCAACTACTCCAAAGGAATAGGAGAAGACTGGCACAGCAAAGGTATTGGTGGCCTTGACCTTGTTTCGAGCATTTAGCTCTGAGCTCCAGATTTTGTTTAAGCGAGATTTTTACCCGGCCCGAAGTTTGTCTTGAATTGGGAGTTCTGGAGCTTGTCTCGAACTTGCATTCCAAGATAGGTGTAGGCCTGATCTTCCACAAGATGCTCAATAACTCCTTCCCCCTGTAACTTGACCGATCCACCATTAACTACCTTGCCACGTTTTAAATAAAGAGTATTACATTTGTCGAGTCCAAATGTCATGCCAACATCATTAGAAAAGGACTCGACAAGGAGAACCTGTTCTTTCAAATTGGTATCTCCTTTGGCAAGAAGCTCGATGTCATCCATGTAAAGAAGATGAGTAAGCGGTGTTGGGGATCTGTGCTGAGGAGGTCTTGGATGGTATCCCTCCTCTCTGTTGAGCAGAAAGCTCAAAGAATTTAGAGACAAGCAAAAAAGCAAAGGACTGAAGGAGTCCCCCTGGAAAATTCCCCTTCTGATTGGAATAGATTCCCAAGTCTGCACCTGCCCTTGCGAGTACATCTCAAGTTGAGATTATTATTATTAGTATACCTATATAAATACTACTTTGTAATGTAACAATACAGCACACGTAAAGATAACTGGTCTGATAAAAAGAAGCCCTTGTCCCTCCACATTCCTAACATGGCATCAATCCAAACTTTCTGGATTCTGTTCGGTCTGATTTCGCAAGCAACTAGGCAAGTTTTTATTTTTTCCATTGTTTTCTTTCTCCCTCGACAATGTCTCAATCCATACTGCTAAATTAAATTAAATTCAGCATAGAGACCTTAAATTAACCCTAGGGACCAGACCTAGCAGCTCACTAACTGCTCTACTGCTCATACTATACACTATCCCTTCCTCTGAAATCAGGGGTGGTGGGGGTAGCCTAGTGGTTAAAGCGTCGCTCGTCATGCTGAAGGACGGGGATCGATTTCCCTTATAGGTACAATGTGTGAAGCCGATGTCTGGTGTTTCCCGCCGTGATATTGCTGGAGTGAGTCAGTTAATAGCTATCGTCACATCGGCAATATACACCAGAAATTAAAAACCTGTTAACGATGAAAAGTAAACCTTAGATTGTATCACAGATATAAGAAAAACTAGTATGGTATCGTAAAACAATATTATTAAAGAGAACAATACAATACAAAATCAGGCTATAGATTGCCAGCAAATGGAGGAAGATCAGCATATGAGACACCATGGGGACTTACAGTGCTGATATTGCTGGAATATTGCTAAAACTAAGCTCACTCCTTGACTACTGGGCTGGGGCACAATAAATCTCATATACAAACAATTAAAAAGCAAATATCAGAAACAATACCACACTCACAAAATTCAAACACCCTACTTAACCCAGGTTTTATCTATTTAACGTCATTTTATTCCAAACTACCAAATATATTACTATAGGATGCACGCACACCATACCTTTACAATCTTATCGGATAGAGCATTCTAAAGTGTGAGTGATACATACTTCTGAGAACAAAGGAGAAAACTCCACTGGAATGGGAGTGCTGGACATGGACATGTAAGGTGATGACAGCAGTTCTTTAGTTAGACAAGAGCAGTGATTTTGAAGCCTATAAAAATCAGTAGGACAAAAGTCATGAGTGGGTGTCTGGCTATAGGCCATTGACCTAAAGCTCTTTTTGACATTTTTTTAACCCCAATGCCATCATATAACTAAATTGTTAATGACATTTAATGTTGCAACTTGGATTCTAGATATACAGCAAACTTTAAGCTTTTTTCAAATATTTATGACTTATAAAAAGATAAATCAACATCAATCACTCCTCTGTAAATAAAGACTGAACAAAACAGAAGTGTTGTTATTTTTTAATATTCAGTTGTTGCTTCTTTTCATCCAACTATGAAAGTACAATAATTAACACTCAATCAAACTCAGACTTGCAAACTTGAAACAGTAAAAACTTCCTGGTTTCAGAAGACAAAATTGGTACCATTTCTGCATGGTGAAGAACAGTCTGCTCATTTTCCTCCAACACGTCAGTGCACCTGAAAAGTCAAATTTGCACAAATCAGCCCCTTCAATATTTACTCGTAAGAGCTTGTCCTGTGTCTCACAGGTAAGACGATTTCTGAGTGGTGTCAGCACACTGTTCTGTGCACTGAAACCCCGCTCACATCCAGCAGTGTGTACTGGGCACACTAGGGACAGCTGGGCCAACTTGAGGATGTTGGGGAACTCCTCCTTGTGGAACTCATTCACAAGTGACCACAGAATAACTGTGTTATCCCTTGGATACATCTGTGCTAGGACCCTAGGTTTCAGCTGCTTCCACTCAATCCTGGTGGCTTCTGGCTCAATCACTGGCTGACTTGTGGTCTCTTCCTCATTGCCTTGGTCAGTCCACATGTGAGTCTGAGGATATCCGAAGTGACCAATGAGACACTCCAGTTGCTCACACCCCCATTTCTCCAGCTCAGTCTCAGACAGGAAACTGATTGGTCTCATACCCAATATTCCAAATGCTGTCAAGATGTCGGTATCTGGAAACCTAGAAATCAGAGTATGAAATTCAAACTACAGGTAATACCTATATGAAGGAATGATCAACATATTCAAATGGTATAAATAATTATATCACACTCAGTTAATAAATTTCATGTTTAAGTTTCATTAAAAATCTAAACTTATCCAATTTCAAAGCCTTGAGTAACATACAAACCTTTGAGAAATGTTGGCAATCAAGTTGTCCAGGAACTTTTCCTCCGCTGACTGAAGATCTCTCTTTGGACAACAAGCAACAGTGTCCTCCTTGTACATCTTCTGGTCCATGTCCAGATGGTCATCCAGCAGGAGCTCGTGCACGCCTGGTTCCGTCTTCAGGGACTCCAGGGTCCTCAGACACTCAACAAGGTTCACCTGAAACAGTTTTGTGATCATTATCATTGATTACAATGTTCAAATCATCTTTAAAAGTTCAAAAAGTTAACGAAATGATGTTACAATGTCAATTTCCATGAAAACAAGAATTGCATTAGAATGAGCTTTAATCTAAAATTCATTCACTCTTAAATTGTGTATGATGCCATGGTAATTTCAGGTGATATTGATAGCTTTACGAGCTCAGGATAGTATAGCTTTTGAAGTTGGTGTGTCCATGAGGATGTAAGTCAAACTGATGAACTTTGCAGATGCAATCTGAAAACATTTAAATAAAAAATTACCCAAAACATTTTTGGTCAAAATTTAACTTAAATGAAACATAATACATAATTGCGTACCTGAAAATGATTCCAATGCAAAGTGCACTGTATGTTTAACCACTTGTAGAGAATCTTTGAATATTTTAAGAAAATAAGCTTGATTTAAAAACTGCAGCTGTAAAGTAAAGAAATCAAATCAAATCAAGTTAAATCAAATCAAATCAAATCAAATCAAATCAAATTAAATCAAAAGAAGGCAGACACGAAAAGGATAATAAAATACAATGCTACTTATCATTTACAGACAAAAGTAAACTGACATGAATTATCTTCGATAAGTTTAAAAAATGGAGAATAAATTATAATTACCTTCTTTTTCAAACCAATGGCTTTGGCATCACTAAGACTGACATCAGCGAGATAAGCCAATAATGGTTCTAGCGTTCTATACACTGTTTCAAGCGCATTATAAAAGCTGAGCCATCTGATGCTGTGAACCTCCTTGTACCGGAGCTGAGGGGAATCAAGAATTTTCTGAACTTCTGACGTCCGCGAGATCTTGTTTGGGGAGTATTTGAAGTAGTAATAAATGGAGGTGACCACTGCTTGATAATCCTTCAGGGCTGGAAACTTCTCAGCTGCTTGGCTGGTACAGAGAGCAAGTCTGTGTGCTACACAGTGGACGTTGATCATATGTGGGTTGATCCTTTTCATCATGCCGTTGACCCCTCTACCACAACCGGTCATGACCGCGGCACCATCTGAGCCTAGCCCCATCACTTTTCCACTGTCTATTCCACTCTTTTCCAATTCGAGCCAAATGGTGTCTGCCTGTTCCCTCCTGTAAGTGAATATTTGTCAAAAATCTTGTCGACGGCATCATTGTGACTGGATCCAATAATTGCATGTAAATGCAGAGGCGTTTTTCGACACAGATATCTGTACTTTCATCTGCTAAAACAGATACAGCTGGGGACTTCTGAAGAGAGATAGTTACTTGTTGGTCAATGGTGTCAGATATGGCTTCAAGAAACTCAATTGCTGCATATGATGATGTGTAATTAATTCCATCAGAAACCTTCAAATAGCAAATGTCTGGAACCTTTAATTCCTGCAAAAGTTCAATGAGAGACTTGAATTTTAACAGAGGTATGCCTTCTTTAGTGAGCCAGTAAGCTGCTTTCAATCCAATGACAGCCCCTTTTTCCTGGTCACTGTGACATTTTTTCTTAGCTTCCTGGAACTGTGTTTGGAGTTGTGGGGCAATTAGAGACGCCTGGTGATCACTGGTTTTCATATGGTCATTCAGAGAAGTGGTCCTGTAATTTGTACATCCATCAGTGAGTGTGTTTCGTCTCCCGGCACTCATACACGATGTGCATGACATGCCCCTCCCATCTTCGTATGCAAGCCAAGGGTACAACTTTAACCATCGGTCTTGGAAGGTGAGTTTCTGTTTTTTTGTCTACTTCCTCTCCGTAAATAGGCTCTGGTATGTCTGTTTCATGAGGCTGGTCAGATACAGTTCTTGCGCCAAACGATAGAGTTGTTTGCCCTTTCAATTTCATTCGTTTTTTAGGTGGCATCGTTCCGTGATCAACGATCAGCAATGGAATGTTGGGGATCCCGTGAAGCTACGAAGCATTAATCTGATTGGCCAAGAAGAGCCAATCACGACAGCAATTACATACAATTGCGGGTGGGTCGGGAAACCCCATCTCTGATTGGCCAATGCTTAAAATAGCAGCCAATCGCGCAATCCAATACATGTACATTTTGCAGCTTACTGTGATAAAAATGGATGTGTAAACACGTACACGCTGCGGAAACATGATCAAGATTTCTTGGTTAGTTTTTGATGAATTTGTAAATGGCAATGTTCGTAATTTATTAGGTCCATATGTGAAAATAACATCGAAATTATCGATCTGCCCGATTGTCCTAATTAGTAAGAAAGTAGTCGGTCATTTGAAAATGTTATTGGACTATGACCGAAGGCCGATGACAATCTGAAACCCTGCAAGAGGGCTAATACATACACCTGTCATTTTATAAGTTGTATGCTTCTCTCGTGGGTAATACGGTCTGATGTACGTTTCTTTGTAGCAGCGTCACCCGAGCCGGTAGGCGAAGGAATCTCTTTCCGTTTAATGGGAATGGTTTGTTCCTATCCAAATTACAATTATTCAGAGACTAAGTGACTATATCATATCATGCCAGCTTGCTGTAAGAAGTACTGACTGACTGACTGAGTTTGGTTTTACGCCGCTTTTAGCAATATTCCAGCAATATCACAGCGGGGGACACCAGAAATGGGCTTCACTCATTGAACCCATGTGGGGATTCGAACCCGGGTCTTCAGCGTGACGAGCCAACGCTTTCACCACTAGGCTACCCCACCGCCCCGCTGTAAGAAGTAAGCCCAAAGAGACACAAATCTTTGACCTGTATTACTTTGGTAACGTGCATGGGTTTCGGGTTGACAAATTTAGTAACAAATCAGAGCCAACAGGGCAAACCCTAAGTGACTGTATCATATCATGCCAGCTTGCTGTAAGAAGTACTGACTGACTGACTGAGTTTGGTTTTACGCCACTTTTAGCAATATTCCAGCAATATCACAGCGGGGGACACCAGAAATGGGCTTCACTCATTGTACCCATGTGGGGATTCGAACCCGGGTCTTCGACGTGACAAGCCAAAGCTTTAACCACTAGGCTACCCCCACCGCCCCGCTGTAAGAAGTAAGCCCAAAGAGACACAAATCTTTGACGTGTATTACTTTGGTAACGTGCATGGGTTTAGGGTTGACAAATTTAGTAACAAATCAGAGCCAACAGGGCAAACCCATCATCAGACGTTTCTGGCACACGCAGAGGAAGCTGCTCTGCTCATTGTGAGCCCCCAAAGTGCGAAACAAACGTGAATCGAGAATTGTGCACAATGTCACATGCTTTCTTCAAACATGTATAATGGCTCGACCATAGAAGGTAATGGTCTTGCCTCAGAGGCAATTAATGCTTCATGTCAATTTCATCCCAACAATCTTGAGACAGTTTTGAATTCTTGGTGGTGTGAAATTTAAGTAGTTTCCACTCCAGATCTTTGGACAAAATGTGCTTTTGAATTGCATATACGGTCGTTGGCTATATGAAACAATCATTGAAGACATTCATGCGAAAAGTGGAAGTATTCCTTAAAGAAAAACAAAACATGCAATAATGTTACCAATAAGATCTTTTTATTTCTATTTGAACAAGAAAACACACATTTACAATAAACAATCCCGACAGATTTAAGTACCTAAACTGATTCACAATGCAAGAAGCAAAACAAAAGCACATTATAATATTAACATTTTGCTAGTCTTACTCTTTTGGATGCAATCATCTGACGGTGGTGTTTCAACGAGTAATAGTTTTTTTGTGCATCATATTTGCACATAGGACAAACATTTCCTGACTCTTCAAGTCAAAGAAATATGATTGAAACATGTCTGGGAGTCCTGTATCTATATACACACTCTACTACAATGCTATATTATCAGTCGATATCAGAAACACCGCTGAATACTGTGGGAGAAAAACCCCCAACTAAACTGACGCATTTAGCCGTTTACCATTTGGATTATGGAATTTGAAGCAACATTTATCAAATCCAGTGCCTTCAGATATTTATTCCTTAAATAATTTGCGACCGGTATAAAGTCGTTGAATATTCCATCACAAAGGATAACGATTTCAAATCACGAACTCTGAAGGATCTGTTTAATAATACCAGTTCTCATTTAGATATTAGCGCTAAACAAATATATATATTAATTGGGTGAGATACTACATTTTAAAGAGCAAATAAACTTTGTTATTTTTGTACTCTTTTAACTATTACATATGAAAGATTTGTGGTTAGTCTTATGCGGAACACCAAATGCATTCTTAAAGAGACTTGTGGTTAATTAAAACCGAGCGATTTATAAGTTGCCCAAAACTCGCCTGCTTCACTCTCGCCCGCCAATGAAACCACGGACAGGTTACGTAATTCTGTCGCCAGAGCACTGCAGTGACGTCATATGAGGAAGGATTTTCAGTTAGTTGTATAGAAAGTGTGTAGCAAGCTCGTCAGTTTGAAGATTTCTCTACATCAACGAAGACATGTCGAATCGTTGCGTTGTCGGCAATTGCTCCTTGGGGTCGGGCGATGGTGTCACCATGCACAGTTTTCCTCAGGACCCCGCAGTTCGTGCTAAATGGGTTATGTTTGTGAGTGCGAAGCGAGCGTTGTGGAAACCTGAAACGATATCTTATTTGTGTTCACATCGCTTCACGGTAGTTCAAGAATCAAAACTACTTACTAGGTGTAGTAAAATATGTATATGATGGATGACCATAAAGATTTTCCATGACACAACTTGTAACATAACGATTTCTTCCTCGGAAGCGAGGTTGTGGTCGAAGTAACAATAATACTTTGTTCATGGACAAATGGTAAGTTCATATGAAGACAGTATTTGAAAATATGATAGAACTGATTCCTGATAAAGATACATAATTGATGGTCACATGTTTGAAAAAGCTAAGAAGCAGAATATTAAATTTGAATCTTTTAAAGTAACACAAATGAAAATGAATATTCTCTAGCTTGCTTTTGGAAAAATGAACAAATAAAGTTTCAAAAATTACTACTCTGCAGCTGTTTCTTCTCTGAAAAATATTTGATAAGCATGGACAAGCGATGTTGTTGTAGAAGGTTTAAAAATATAGCTAAAACCAACCTTTTTTTCCATCACAAGGGATAAATATTTCAATGTAAAAACTGTGAAGGATCTTTTTGATATTAATTATCGTTTAATCATTGAATTTATATAAAAGAAATAGAATTACTAAATAATTTTTGATAAGTCCTTTGTAAACAGATATATATGTTATCATTATTGGTAGTTAAGATTAGTAACTGAGGTTGTTAGTGGTTGTACGCTCAAAGGGGGTTGAAGTATAGTCGAACATGGTTATAGCAAACACGGATATAGCGTACAAACGGATATAGCGTACAAATTTAAAAGTCCCGTCAACAGTCCTTTATAATATCATTAAAATTATACGTGGATAACGAACTCGTGAGTAGCGAATTAACGGCTATAGCGAACTGATTTACTACCCCCAAGACCCAATTAACGACGTGATTAGCGAACTCACTCAGTGTCAGCTCAGCCACTTAGCGGTACAGCATACATCAATCTTGTTGGCGGTGAATCAACATTGATTGATGGTCATTAATTAATTAACAAAACAAACACATCGTTTTTAACCCATTCAACAACCGTTTTCGTTGACGAGGACGGTATCCATTGCCGTAGTATGATTGGCTGCCTTAGGTCACGTGTCTGATTTTGACCAATCACGATCCTTATAGCAGACTGTGGCGAAAAAGCGTCATTAGAAACCAATCGTTATCCAATAAAATCGCTTTTTTGTAAAATTATTGTCCTCCTAAGAGGGTACGTAAGTCCTAAAGCATTCAAGGTTAATTTAAACATACTTTCATTTTTAATTGTAGCATGTATGTTCTTTTAATTTTGGCTACATTTTCCTACAACCGCCAGGGGCTGAAGGTATGGTGTAAATCCAACTAGGGTCCATGCAGGTAGCAAAGGTACTGTAAGTCAACATGGTCCCTAGTATGGTGATCTACTTTCAGTTGTTGGCGATCTTTAGTCTGTTTTTATATTGTATCGTCCTCTATAGTTAAACTCTTGTAGATTTAATTATTAGTTTTAAGCA